CCTTGGCTGTGTTCAGGAGCTCAGGACGCAGTGTGAGGGCGCGGATTTGGCGCTGCCACCAATGTGAGGGGGGTAACAACAAACAAGCTGCCACCAATGTGAGGGTGTGGGTTCCCTCTTGTGTCTGCACCCCCCTCATCTTTACTTACTTCTCTTAGTCTTACTCCTACTCAGTTCCGTCACCTATTCTTTGGTAGCATGGACATTCTTTTGGTAGCATGGTCGAGGGTCTAGGCACGTGAGTATGGTAATTCTGGTATCAAGTCACTTGGATGGAAATAAAGGTAAAATACTGTGGGAGAAAGGAATACACCTAAAGTACTCTAAAAACAAGTTTATTAATATGCAATCAATGGGGAAAGATATTGTATTAAACATATAACTACCAAGCTCAGCTCCTGGGCTAAGTGCAAACTCAGTCCCTTCTTCTTTACTCTTACTCACAACATTACTGGTGTTACATTACATGGCACTCATGGTAGATTATCTTAATCAGCATATACGTAAATAATTACACTAGCATATGCAGGGGTCCACTACCCAACATGGGATAATTATTTCCATCTAATTATCCCTAACATACATGTCACAACACTCTCTGTGGACATACACTTCCAAGGGAGTAACCCAGGGTAGAGCACTGGGGCTCACGCCTGTTGTTATTGTGGGGTAGCCAGACACATGGCGGGTCTGGGTTCTGACCCAACGAAGCCGTGGGGCACATTAATCAGGCCGCATCGGTGCCATCGTTTCGTATATGATCCCGGCTGGTTATTTACTACATCCGGGGCCGTTGTTGAATGGTTGCAAGAATCACAATGGGATCTGGAGACAAACGGGAGAGCAGACGTCAGGGGACATGACAACACAAACAAACTCTCTTGTCTAGACGACAGACGTATTTACGTTATATTACTTCTACACTGGGTGAATGACAATTCAACTGTTAAATCATAAACACTGGTGAACACTGATATTCACTACAATTGACTGAATCAAACTGAATGGCTAGGGAACACAGAACATACCTGGAGACAAACGGGAGAGCAGACGTCAGGGGACGTTGTCTCTCCCTTACCAGTAGTATATATACCCCTGAGTTGCCAGTGATCGCTACTCACGCAATGACAATAATTACAAAACAAACTAACTGTTACTCATTCAAAGATGACCCTCAGTTGACAAAGGTCTGGCGAATTACTTGAGTTGATTTACACAGACTAATTCAAGATTGAGCTTCCCAGGAGAAAGTGGAATAACAACGCATTGACAACTATCTTCACAAAGGCCGGACTCTGGGAGGGAACCCAAGTGTAGCGTGTATGGGGAAAAAACACGTCTTCTCAGGGGTCGCTAACTCACTCATGCTTTGCTGGTGTGGAGTTTAATAAGAATCATTAGTTAAATAGATCAGCAGTCAACGTGACCATGACAGCAGGCAGCGAGGGCGTGAGAAGGCTGAAGGTCCTTTGGTTTCGATGTGGTGGAAAATTCCTGACGTAGGTGGTGGGGGTGGAGAGACTCGGGGTGAGAAAAGCTCCTTGAATTCTTCGAGCAGGGGAGAGAACTCATTGGAAGGCGAGAGACAGGTGATAGTGTCGGTGTCTTTGGCACGAGAACCCTGGATCTTGCGTACTGTAGGCTCATGGATGAGGCATAGATGGCTTGGGACGATGCTGAGCTTGTGGAAGGTGAGGAAGTCGAAGCCAAGGATGGGTTGCGACATGTCTGCAACCATGAATGACCAGCACAGAGTCTTGGGCAGACCAAGGTCTAAGGCGAGGATGAGTGCGTCGTAGGAGGCGATGGGGGTACCGTTGGCAGTGAACAGGTCATAAGAGGGTTGCTTTGACGTGTCTTGTAGTGAGGGAGGGATGATGCTGACTGATGAACCTGTGTCGACGAGGAATTTCGTGCCGGAGGTGCGGTCGGTGACGTGCAGTAGTGAGACACCTAAAAGGATGGGGGCTGAGGCGTCTACCAATCCCTGTTGTTGCCGTTTCCCGAGTAGGTGCAGTAGGGCTCACAGTGTTGAGCATTGGAGCCGAAACGTCTGTGATACCAGCAGAGGGTAGATCTGTTGTGCTGGGGGCTGGCGGCGGTTTCCGGGGCAGGAAGGTCGCGTCGGGGATTGTAGGGCGCGGTGCGTGAGTCAGGAACAGGCCCAGCAGCATGCATGGAGAAACAGAACTGTTCAATGGTGTCCATCCTGAAGTTCAAAGTTTGCAACAGGTCCCTGATGTCTTGTGAGGTATTGCTCGGCTGAGGGGTGTTGACCCGGCTTACAAGTTCGGGGGTAAGTACTGGTGAGGTCGTTGGGTTGCCCGCAGCGGCAAGGCACGCAGCAGTGCACTCGTTGAATATTCTGTCTGCCGAGGTTGCGAAGAGTTTTGGTGTCATAGAGTAATCAACTGCGGACAGGGTGATGCGTACTTGTGTGGGGAGCTTTTGTGCGTGAAGCTGGCGCAGGATAGAGTCGGGGAGTCTGTCTGTGTGACGGGAGTTCAGCCTACACATCTCCTCCCAGAGAAGTCCCGGGGTTGAATTTCCGAGGGAGATAGAGGATAGGTCTTGCAGGAGACTGGAGCGGGTCCGTTGATAACACGTCTTTAAGGCATCCCGCAGGCTAGCGAATTTGTTGTTATCTGGAGGGTTGGAAATGGTCTGTGAGACTTGCGTGGCGACTTCCGTGGGCAAGGAACAGAGCAGGGCACTGTATTTTTGCTCGTCAGTAGCTTGTGAGCCGATGAGGGTTGCTTCCACATGAACTAAACAGTCCTCGACGTTGTGGTTGAAGGTCGGTAGAGAGATAAGTCCGTCCATTCTTGCGGAAGTGCGTCACACCTGTTAGGGAAGGATGAGGGATGGGTGCTTGTTCCGACCCCCTTCCATGTTCACAATCTCCTGGGAGGGAGGTGAACAGTTGCAGGGGGGACTTCGTGACGAATACACTTTTTAGGGTGCAGGTCCTTAGGCCAGAACTAAAAAAAAACAAAAGAAAAATAGTAGAGTAGGCAAAAGAGCTCAAACCACGTTTGGAATATCGCACATTAGTTGCTTTCCGGCTGTGATGTCACTCACACCGCCAGTGGGGAAAACAGACTAATGCGTTATAAGCCTTACGGTCGTGAGATGGTGGAGTAGCAGTTGATGTAGGTAGGGCGGTTGGCCCGGACTGGCAGCAGACAGGGCGATCCTCACAGCTCCAGGAGTAAGGCAGCAGAGGGAGTGTGGTGTTCACAGCTCCAGGGGTCACCAATTGTAGCGTACTGTATGTGGCCAGTTGTCAATTCTCTTTGGTTGTCTATTATCTCTTTGTATGGGCTCACAAACGTACGTACATGTAAGATGTCTCACACACAGGATTGAGGTAGAATAGAAACTCACAATGCGTTTTCTGTATATATATTTTTTTGTACAGTGCAGTGCTAAGGAGTTACTAGGTGATGAGTAGTTTGCTCAGAGGTCCTGTTGGGCGAGGAGGTTTCTGAGGGAGCTGGTTGGTGAGGCGCTGTAGAGAGGTCTTTCTGGTCCAGTAGGTCCGAGTAGAATGGCCTCCCTGGCCAGCCACGCCCGTATTTATACAATTCTGCCAGATCAGGAATCGAGGCGAGTGCGTAGCGTGGGAGCTAATCACGGAGGAGAATGCGAAAGGTGCCAGACGCCAGACTCTGTGATCCTGACATGTCGTGGGAACCTATGGCCTCTCCTGGAGTTGCTATGTGTGCGTCCGCACTGGGGAGTAGGTCTATGGCATCGCTGGCTGTATGCTGATTGGCTGGTAAGCGCGCGGCAGGAGCTCAGTAGGCAGTTGTAAGGGAGAGTGTAGGGGTATGAGATATTGGTTCACACTCAGGATGGGATGGAGAAAGGAAACTCACAATGTGCTCACTGTATACATATTGTATTGGATGTACAATGTAGCTTGTTGCTGGGTAGGTAGCATGGTAATAAGCGTTGAGTACGTAGAGAGAGCTGGGTGGTGAGGGTGCCCAGAGGAAGGACACGCGGCTTGAGGGACGCCAAGGTCGCTGGTGGAGGAGGTGTTGCTTGCTGGTGGCACTGTGTAGAAAGAGTGTCACAGCCGTGTCAGGCCTTATAAGGCAGGGGTAGGCGTGGGTAGATAGTTGACCCCCGCTCCGTGGGCGGCGCTGGAGGCGTAGGCTGGGGGATTCGAGAAGGTTCGGTGCTTGTAGGGGAGGAATCCACTACAAGAGGATCCACTACATACTCATCTCCTCCCTCATCCAGTCGATGTTCTTGAAGATATCCCGACAGTTTATCTTAAATTTGCGAGTCTAAATCGATTTGTTTTTACTAGAGTAATATAATACAACACTAATGAGTATAAGTATAGTAAGTAAATATATAACCTATTTCATGATTTTTTTTTGTACATACCCTCTGCCCTTCATGGCAGCAATCAGTGAGAGCCCTCTTAGCGTCAAGAACTGACCTTAGTAAACAAACTGTACTCCAATTTTGCCAATAAGCTATCAAGCAAAAAATAAATAAATAAAAATCCTACCCTCTGGCCTGTTTCCAGAATCCCGTATCCCAAGGGATCCCAAAGACGTGCACAAGTCATGGAATGTTATCACATCTGATGCAAATGTTTTTAATAGTAAATAAACGTAAAAATAGCTTTTGTTAATTTAATTTGGAGTACAGTACTGGATGTAGGTTAACTCGGCTATGATGTAATGTTATCAAATTATTAATGGGTACATAATTGCTCAGAGAAGGAAATTAAAACGATATAATGGTAATGTAATCGTAGAAATACATTTATTAAAATCACTCCGATAACATAACAGTGGAAGCGGGAGTAATTACGAGATTACGATGAACTTGTACAATATTGAAACACTTGATTTTTTGTGAATGTCAACCAATGAGATGTATAGGGAGGTGGGATGAGAAGTGAACCCTAAACGACAGCCTCCCTAACACTTTCAAAAGGACTTTACTTACGGTGTGATAAACGAAGAGACTCGGGAAGAGGATCGGGTGCTCCTCACAGATGGCCTTCCAGCCCCTGTACTAGCACACTGTAAACAAGGCAACCCACAGTATCCAGAAGTTACACTCCAGCCAACATATAACTTAATCATTACTGGAGTGTGTGGTCGTGTGCGGTGCTTGTAAGTATATCATTAAGTAGAGTAAGTGTCTGTACCTGTCCTGGGGGAAGGTTAGGGTGGTAGTGGTGACTAATACAGCCTGTTATAATCTTGTGTGGGCGAGGGGTCTAGCCTTACACTACCCTCATTATCTATCTCGTTTTTCTCGAAGGAAATATGATGCACCAGTTGTTTACTTGCACAAATTGGTGTTAAGGGTGATTGTGGTTTATGTTTTAGACATGTAAATGTTTTATCCTGGTTTGGGAACATATGTCATGGTTGTGGTTCAATGTAAACAAAGGTACCGTGTCTGTGAGGATGTCATGTATGTGGAGTAATAAATTAGTCTTTATTGTCCCCATATATCTCATTTAAATTTTGTGATGTTGAGTTTGTGACACATAGTAGTAAGAACATGCAGTAATAGACTTATAAATGTAATATATTGGTGGCTGATAAATAAAGTGATTCAGGACGGCATTTGATTCTGTCATGTAAAGTGAATTAAGGGCCTGATATACAGACATTCATTCCATATGAGGCAATAATGGACATTGGCCTAAAAGTTACTGAATTAAATTGGGTAAATGTTAAGGAGACGGTCGCCACTCTGAATTTTTGCAATACCTTCACTTTCAATTTAAGATAACATTATTTTTCGATATAAAACTTGAACTCTATTTTTTATTATATATACCGGTATATTTTTTTTTATTTGTGTTAGGGACTGATGAGCTAAACTGTACAATACTTGTACAGTGCATGAAAACAAATGGTAGAGACCGACCAAACATAACATAATACTTTTTTGGTTGGGTTAGGTTAGGTTTTGTTTGTTTTCTCAGCTATATTTATAAGAGGATTAGCCTCATTGCTTATGTTATACCATAATTGGAGGGAGAGAGACTTACACTTCATGTAGACATCTGAAACAAGCTCACGAGTTACTTCTCTTTATTTCATATTTCCGCATCAGATTGACATTCTGTGTGTCATTAAGATCCCATTATATAATTGCAAAAAATGAGGTAGCAACCGTCATCTCAATCTGTACAATATTGAGAGAGCTGTCTTTCTCCGGCCATTGTTATGTTAGCTTCAGTTTGTCTTAACATAACAAAGCTCTAATTTTGTAGTGGCCATCTGTTTATGCCCCAGTGTATGAGTACATTTACTGTATGTGTACTGCACGGTTCTGTGCAAGACTTGATGTATGTATACATATGTGGAGAGTAAAGCCTTGTCTATGGTTTATTGTGTACATATTTGCATGACTCGGTGAATACTAACATATATGGCAGTTCTGCATAGCTCAGATTATACTTACAAGTATGTCTCTGCATGTCTCAGTGTATGTTTAGCCCATGTGCATGACTCACATCACCATTTGTATGGTTCTGGCCACAGCTCTTTAGAAATGTATAATTGTGACTGTGCATGATTCATTGTACAGTACACATATGTATGATTATGCAGGATTCATTTTCCAGATATACCCTGTATCTGGCTATGCATGACTTCTTGTATTCATGGACGACTATGCATGACTTCTTGAATTCATGGACGACAATGCATGATTCATTTTCCAGATATGTATGGCCTTATGCATGATATTGAACTTATTTTATGAAACTTCTTGGCTCATTGTACACATGTATGGCACAGTGTATAGGTGATGTGCATATCTCCCACTACAGTACTGTATCCTGGGATGAATCCTGGCCCAGGACAGATCTGGAAAGGGTGTTGTCCAATGTGACACTATGAAACATGACAAGTTTCCTCCAGGTACTCCAGTCCTTCTTGTTCTAATACTGCACAATAAAGTTCATCATAAAGTAATAAAGAACAGACCTGCCACTAATGGCTAGTACCCAGTAAGCTGATAAGTTTTGAAACAAAAAATATATGTTTTACCTTGTAAGTATACATTGCATTCCTGTCTCAGTCTGTGTACAGCTGTGTATGATTGTCCATAATCTATTGTACAGTACTCATGTTTACACAGCACATTGTACAATCGCCCCAATAAATTATGTCAATATTTCCACAAACTTTCAATTGGAAAATGGTATCTGGCAAGTACCAATGTTGCTTTAGTTTTATTTTATAAAGGTGGAATGCAATTTTTGAAATAGTAACAGAAATTAATTAAGAATTGCTAAAACAGTCTTTAATAATACTGTAATATAGTGGGAACACAATCTTTAAGATAATACTTTAGTATACAATATTTTCAACAATAGAATATGACATACGACCAGATTATTGCTCAGGGACATTCAGAAACAATTTACTGATTTCAGTTCGCCATCAAAATGAAGACGTATACATTAATAATGTGTTAAGCTAGGTAGTAGGCAGCTACCAAACAGGGAGGTACTACCGCTTGGGAAGATATTGGAAGCATAATGTGTTGTCTAGTGGTAGACCCTGCTGCTATATGGCATCACGAAAATTGTGACCAAGTTCCAGGTTGCTCATCTGACCTTCTGCCTCATTTACACACAATTGCAGGGTTTCAATTGTTTCTCTTACTTTGTCAACACAAATGATTTATTTTTTTATGGTCCTTTATTACTGTATTATTATTATTATTATTATTATTATTATTATTATTATTATTATTATTATTATTATTATTATTATTATTATTATTATTATTACATTTTCGTCCCCCAGGCCCCAATGTGGGTCAGTGACCTGTGCCCGGGTGGGCTAATTCCCATAAAAAAAAAAAAGCTGACATAAGTATCCAATAAAAAATTGAATTAAAATAATATTGATAATCACCACTTTTATGTCATCACCTAACTGAATATGTAAACACATATTTTCTATATTCACCGCCTCAGTGAGCGATGCCATAAGACAGGATAACATTTATGAAACAAAGCTTTAGATAGACTATAGGCTTATTTAAATGGGTCAATTTATAATAGAGGATATAATTTTATATATATATTTTTTTTTCAAATGCTAAGTTAAAACAAAAACAAGACAATTTTCTTCTATGGCACTTATTGGCGCATTTTTCCCATAACTTAGATACCGGGAGTCCGGAGCTAATGTGGAAGATTCATGATCATAGAATTGCTGTTTCAATTCAGAAAACTACTAGGAAAGCTATTATTGTATTTGTTGCCACCAAATGAATCTCGGGATTTTTCTATGCAAGCAAAGGTTTAGACAATTCTATGATGTTTCCCTCGCAAATGCCCCAGTACAGGATGTTTAATATACTGGGTGATCAGTCTGGATGTTTAAAGTTAGGTAGGTGTAGTTGGTGATATCAACTACGTATTATTTCGGTTGTGAGTAAAATGAAAGAAAAGTGTCACAGAAGAAAGTTGAAAGTTGGCTTGTTTTTGTCTGAACTTATAATAGGTATCCTTCATTAACCAATCAGGATGCATTCCTGAAAACTGATCGTTAAGTGAAAGGATCACTTAACAAGGAAAAACGAGAAATAATATCCTAAACGATGGATAACAAAGAATTATATCTGTGGAGATGGCACATAATATTGTAGCTCAGTCTTGGACTCGCCACCCGGTAGTACTCGGAGCGGGTGAGGCTGAACTGTGAGCTATAATATTTTTTAACTCATAATTTCAGGTAGATATACATAATATACTTCATTTTCTTTTACTCTGTTACATGCACACACAATCGTTCATATAGAATGTGCTAATAAAATTTAAAAAATTATTATCATAAGATCAAAAACATAAAGGAAATACAGTAAACATTTCTTATGTGGTCGGCAGTTAGGCAACAGAGCAGGTGGGGGGGCAAGGAGTGACGTGGGGGAACTCTCAGCTATTCTCTTTCTCGTGTCCCATGAAATGATTGGCAAGTGGCTATACTGTACAGTATTTTTTCTTTTATTTTATTTATTATTATTATTTTTATTTATTACTTTTATTTATTCCTCACATTTACTGCTACAGTATACACACGACACAGTTCATTCGGGCAGTCACCGAGCTGACTCAAGAGATGTGTGTGTCTGCTGCTGTATACCGTGACATCACATAGAGGGGAGAGAGAAGGCGGCTCGCCACAGTTACAGCTCACTCCACCAATACAAACAATTACTGTATTTTACAGCATATAAGACACATTTTTTATCTGAAAAATGGCTAATAAAAATCAGCCTGCATACTGTATATGTGAAGTTGCAGTCTCCCCCGAGCTAATGAATCCCTCTGTTGCTGTCTCCAGTAGGCTAAATTCTACCTAACCCTACTCCAGAATTGAAAATATGTTATTTCTTATTTACACATTATTATTTGTAATTAATTAAAGATAATTATTGTAAATATAAAAGGTCGATCTATAACTACGGTACTCTGCACTGTACTGATGACGATAACCTGAGACGATTAACGTCCGTACGGCAGGACCCAACTCTCTAAAGGTAGCTAGGCAGTAACCATTTCTGAACTCTTACAAGCATTACGATCTATTAATGCCATACCTGCAACATTTATTTTTCAATCTACAAATACCTGATACAAATTAAGATTTACAGATAACTTTCTTTTCACATTTACATCTGTTAAAATAGCTGGCGGCATTGTAGCCAGGTTAAACTCATCTCTGTAACCACCAGGCTACTGTGCCAAGCTGTTGTTTTTCAATTCGCATTTTCGGGTAGATATACCTAACTGTCTTCATTTATTTTTACTGATATACATGCATACACCATCCTACTGTACATACATATTGCAAAAAAAAATTGTCCTAAGGGCAAACACAAAAAAGGAATATATACATTTCTTTGCATACAAGTTAGCTGGCTTAGTGCAGAAGTGGGTGGGCGGTTGGTGGTGAGGGAGGGGAGAGTTGTTGGGGAATCGGAGGAGGTAGCATTGCCGTTGAACAGAGTGTACAAATGTACAATACAGGGGGGCTCCCCAAATTCGTGAGTTTAGGTTCTAAGAATGGCTGCGAATCGCCAAATCCGCAAATAACATTTGTGGACCGGGGTGGTCATTTTTACTTGTGTACAAAGAAATGTATATTCCCTTTAT